GGCACATCTGAGAGAGGCTTGAGGACAACCTTACTGCTCTGACACTGTTCCTTTTTTGCAGCCGTACCCTTGCTGCAACTGAATCATCCTATCATGGGATAGGCACAAAGCACAATTCAAGTCATAAACATAATCTGGCAAGGGACTCCTACAAGAGTTTGGGGTAGTTTATCAGGATGATCCTTAAAGTCACAGTTAAATATCTCCAAGTGAATTTGATGGAACTGGCAATTTTGAAAGAATTAATTAATTTGTTCCTCACATAATTTGCTATTCAGGTTATACTTAATAGGCTTATATCCTTCCCCGCTTTTGTCCACTGAAGCATGGGTAGATTAAAGTTTGTAATAGAGCCAACTCTCCATCACCAGCCGGGAGCATATCCAGGATGCAGAGAGGCATGCCATGGATGCAGTGTGAATTCAGGTCCACAGGTAGGAAAGGCTCATTCAAAAAGAAGTCAAAATAATACGGTTCACAGGGCCACGCAATGATTCCCATGCAACATGCCCATTCCCAAGAGGGCCTGCATGTTTGCTGCTTCCAGACCTGGACCCAGAAATAGTAAAATCACCTAAAGCCTCCTGTTTAGGCTGGCATCCCACCACCCTCAGCTTTGATGAAATGACCATCACTTTCTGAATGACCGAACATGGTCTCAGGATCTTTCCACTCCCTCTATATTCAGCAGTTGGCAAAAACCCCGTGACCTGATCCATTCCTCACCTGGAAGCAAGGGTGACTCTGTCAGGCACTCAGGCAGATGTATGACAAGCTTTTCCAAGGGACCTCTGTGGGTGCAAACAGAAAGATCAGAATCAATGTTTTGTTCACTGTAAAAGCAGGAAGTGAATCAAGCTGGCTGTAACACCTCACCAAGAAAACAGCCCCAAAATGGCCCTTAATGCCAGTTACCCTCCTTTATGGAGCAGAGCATAGCTTTTTTCCCCCTGATACAACCCATGTGGCAGTCTGTCCCTTTTTTGACCCATGTAAGTGGTTTTCACTCATTTGCAGTTTATATCAGAGCAAGCAGAGAAACTGAAGTTTATTTGGGAGAGAAGCTACTTGTTTCAAATCACTGTAAAACTTGTGAAAGGTTCTGACCTAAGGGCTACAGGTAACAAAGTCTCTTTCAAAGCCTGACCAAACACCCTCCTGCTTCTCCTGCTTAAAGGGCCTCTAAGAGGCCTCCTTCACTGCTCAGGCCAATGGTGAGTCATGCCCACAGCACTGGCTTTGCCATACGAGCACCAAGAAAAACTGAAGCTGAGAAGGGATGCATTAACCACGCAGCAACTGTGGAAAAAGCAGTAGGGTGAGACAGCTTCAGCCCTTGCTTCCTTTTGGGTGCCTCCAAGGATGCCCAGCTAAAAACAAAAACACATGTTTTTCTGTTACCACAAGCTGCTTTTAACCAGCAGCCTCTCTTACTTCCAGCTTATTGATATCTAGCCTACCCTGGTGTTACCTGTTTCCTTTCATCTCAGTCCTGAAGAAGAAATAAGCAAGCTTAAAAAATACTAGCAATGATTAGTGGAAAGTCCAGCTCACCTCCACCTGCTCCAATTCTTCCAGCCCAGCATGTTTCCGGCCATCACAGGCCCACAAGCTCCTCCTAACTGCATCCTCAACCGTATTTTCCTAAAGTCTAATTATCTCTTAACAAGCATGGCTCACATTAGCCAAGGAGTTAAACATCACTGAAGAGGAGGAGAGACATAGCTAGCCAGTCACATACATTATTTTTTAAGGAAACCAGGCTGAAACTGACTAGACCAACCATCAACAGTCTTTGCTCAGGAGAACTGGGTCTGGCAGGGCAGCATCTTCACCCTCCTGGTCCGCAGCGGAGGAAGGGAAGCACAGAGAACTGCAGCAGTTGCTTCAGATCCACACCAAAGCCCAAGAAGCACAGATAAATTTGTTGAGGACCTGCCCACACACACTGGATATTCCTTTCATATTTGCCATGACAAAAAAGTCACGTTAACATTTTTGCCAGCACTGGAAGCCTGTATCAAATAACAGCAAAGAGGCAGACAGGTGTCCTGACCAGAAGAGACGGCAGATGTTAACAGTTTGGAATTTATGATTATTGTTAATTTTTAAAGGGGGAAACAAATCCCAGAGATTTTTTTGTGCATGATACATTTTCTGCTCCCTGTTTGAAGTTGCTTTCAGACTTAAGACTTCAAATAGCTAATGCTAACCTCAAGCCTGCTTTAAACTAATGCCTCTAATGTGACCAGAAATGAATGCATGGTGAATCACTTATGCCACACACAGAGGGGGTGATGAGCAGTGGTCCATGTCTCCCAGTTGCTGTGTGGACACAAATACACTGAGGGAAAGCAGATTCCAGCTCTCTCTGCATCACAGCCTGATAATTCTGGAAAGCGCAATCTTCAGGTCAACAGCCCAGCCACAAGCAGTCGGAGAGGACAATGTAGCTACTGGCATCTTCTGCAAAGTATGTGTGTGTATATATATATATATATAATCTGCATAGGCTGCACTTCCATCCTCTCTGCCTGCCTTTGGGAGACGCTTAAGAGAAGCTGCATTTTAATTACTAGCCCAAATCAAGGGAATCTGATTTTGACAGCAAATGAAAGAGAACAACTCAAAGTTACAGACTTCAGGGTATGTGGGTCCCTGGCCTTCACTATTTTGCTAACATTACTGCTTCCAGAAATTAAGTCAAAACCCCACTTAACTTCAGAGAGGTTGCAATTTGCATCTAAAGTGCTGCCTAAGCCTCAGTTATAATAAACAGATACAGCTCCACTGAAATCAAAAGCATTATTCTGATTTTGTCTGGTTACAGATCTACAGACCCATAAACATTACAGCTCATCCAACCTCCAGCTAAATATCTTCTAATACAAGACCATTATCTTTGTCAGATTGATTGGGACAACTTGTTTAAAGTACTCTTGAAGACTCATTAGCATCATTGGGTTTTGGTGGTTGTATTTTAAGAATAAATCCCAGTAGCTATTAAACACTTGAAAAAGGCATGTTAACAATTTACAAACAAAGCTCAAGTAGAGATATAACTGTGGTTTTCGATTTTCATTTTGAAATTGGCAAAATGGAAGGAGCAAAGAAAACAGAAAAATGAAACTGAGCTCTGCACACACACTGAAAAATCACCCACATTATTTGACAGATAATGAATTAAAAAGAAATACAGAGATAAGGGAAGCAAAATCATGCTAGAAAAACCCAATCCTCCCCTCTTTTTGAGCCTTACTAAATTATATTTCAGGTACAGCAGACAGACAAGATGACTTCGGGAAATACACTTCACCAAACATCACTTGCCAAAACAGCTGATGTCAGGTAGGGCTCCTCTCCCTTGAGCCTTCCTCACTCTCCTGTAATAGAGTATCCCAGAGACAAGCTTGTGCTGACTATGCTCCCCAGCAGCAGAGCAATGCTATTGACTAGTTTTACAGCTTGCTATGCAGGGGTGGATGCTACTGACCATCACAACATCCATACCACAGAACCATGGTTGTCATCTTTAAAACTCTCTCACCAAATGAAGTGGTTCCCTTAGACAAATAGCAGATGGGGAGACCTTTTGCTACAACCAAGGTCCTATTCAGTTTGTTGTGTTGCCACAGCTTTATCGATGAAAAAGAGTCTTGGTTTATTTGTTTTTTTCACAGCTGTCCTGCCGAAATCATACTGCCAAGCATCAATTATAAGTCAAACCTTGGACAAGGAATGGTGGAAGAGTTGCTTGACATTTTGCAGAAAATCCACAAGCATCCCAGGGCCTGCCACGGGGTTCAGGTGCTGATTAGGAAGGGCCACTAACATTCTTCCACAAAGAAGGCTTTTTTAGCAGCTCCTCAACCTGTGAGCCTTCATCACAACCTGGGTCAGGCAGACAGAGGAATGGTAGTGAACTGTTTCCTCACCTGATTTCCATTTCAGCCAGGGAAATACTTCACAATCCTTGTGCTTGGGTGTCTCTTGCTTCAGAAGCAGCTTTGCAAGCCATCGCATTAAGCAAGGGGGTAGCACTGACAGATCCTGTGCTAGGAGCATAATGAAGGCACTGTGGTGCCAGCCTGTGTCTCTTAGCCTTCAGGCTGTAGGATCGCAGTAGATGGGAGCAATACATTCCAGCTGCTCTTCAGGGCTGGCACATCACTACACTTAGAGGTATGGCTGGGATACCACAAAGGTGCCTACACTGACCACAGCTCTCTGCTAGCTCAAAAGGAAAAGGGCAGAGAGCAGCGCAGCCACACAACACATACCAACCATCAATGTGGGTGATGGGGGACAGGGGCATGTACAGCTCCCACAGGATGCACTCTATTTTAATTCCCTTCTGTTCTTCCAGCCCTGGATGCAACCTTAAAAATCCAGACATCTAGCCCACATGTTGCTATCCCAGCTCAATGAGGAGAGGATGAGCTCAATTCTTCCAGTCAAATGGGAACGGACGAAAAAAACAGTAGTAGTGGTGGTAGTAGTTTTTTGTTAGTAGTAGTAGTATTTTTGTTAAAATCAAACAAAAATGTCCCCAGGAAATCAAAGACAAAACAGGAGAAGGGATACAGAGAAGAAGACTCTGTTACTGCATCAGTGGAAGAGAGATATTGCTGGTTGCAACCAAAGGTAACTCAGGTGCAGGAAGAAAGCTGTCACAGTCTGCCAGTGTCATGCTCTATGGTATTGTCTTCCCATACCAAAGTGCTACGGAAGGGCGAGAGCAGCTCACCTGGGAGAGGATGCTCAGACATACTGCTTACTGCTCCCCAGCACCACAGCTGGATCTGCAGGAACAGCAGATGTGAGACAATGATCACACACATTCCTCTTGCACTGCAAATCAACAGCCAAACCACAAGCACCCATAAGTACCCAGAGGTACAGGACTGTTGGTGCCCAGGTATGCAGGGGCTACCAGGCCTTCACCCAAGCCCCTGCCATGCAAAGTATCTCCAATAAACAGGGGCAGGTTTGCTCCCTACCTGACAAGGGCCCTCTTTCCACCAGCTGAGTCTCCCCACTGCTATGTAGAAGCTTCCCAGAGAGACCAAAGCAAAAGTCAGGCACAGCTCAAATAAGCACCTGGATCTACAAAAAAAAACAGATTAAATTCTCAAGCTACAAAACTATGTTTTAGCAAAAGTGCAATTGAACTTCATGTACTTGTTACATTTCTAAATATATTCTGGTTGTCAAGACAACAAAGAGACTGATAGATCTCTAAAGTGTACTGTATCTATTTAATTGTCAGCATTTCAAACCGACTCGAGGAGGGAAAAAAATGCCGTGTGGTGAGTCTAATCGTCATGGTTACCACTGGCTAACCCCATAATAAAAATATATATATATATTCTAGCTAAATGTGCCAAGCCATGTGAGGAGCAGATGGGAGACATTCTCATTACTGCGACAGCCTCCACGGGAAAACTAAACTTGAGGAAGGACGCGAGAGACTTTACAGAGATCTCAGACACAACAGACATCGTGGGCTGCATCATCCCAGTCATTTGGCAGCAGCTGCTCGGGCTTTTCCACAGTGCTCATTCGCCCTATGTGTGCTGGGACAACCCATGGGGCTGGAGCTTCCTAACTTGCAAGTATTCCTGTTTGGGGATCTCACCCCCCACCCAAAATAGCCTGAGATGTGAGCCTCTGACAGAATCTAATGTGTAACCATCTTGGATTTGCACTCCCACTCTAGCTCACTGGCTCTTCTCCCTCTAGGCAGCCCATGGGCATTGCTTCAGCAGGAGGATGCTATGGCCTGGCCCTTCTGCTCTCATATTGTTAAGAGCTACAGCAAGGGCTATGTCCAGCCTTGGAGAAGAGAAACAAGTGGAAAGAAACAGCCAGCCACTTCTGCAAATATACCAGCCTAAGGCTGAAATGGGAAATACCATGCACCCCCAGATAGCCTCTGCACCTTGTTTGACAAGTGACATGAAGAGCTCTGCTACTCACATGAGGTCCCTCCCGAAAGAGATGCTTTCCAAAAAAAAGCCAAAACATTGGCTTTTTACACAGAAGACATCCACAACAATATCTGAGATACCTATCTATGTATAAAACAACTGTGGCTCTCCTTCACTGACCAGAACTCATCCACCTATGCTCAGTTCTCACTTCTCTTTCATTAAACCAAAATTTAATTTGCAGGAGAAAGGCACAAGTTTCCTCCAGGTATAAAAGAGCAATGGAAGACAACTCATGTTCACCTGGTGAGCACTGATGTCAATAAATGGTCAAGTTTCCAATTAGTCTGCAGCTTCCCAGTGTTTCTGACAGAAAACAAATCAAAGCCAAATCACCCTTAGAAATCTCCCTGGGGCTGTTTCACTCCTTCATAAAGACAAAAGCTTTCTCTTTCTGCTGTCATACACTTTCATGGAAACCATAAGGCATTGCCTAAAACCATCTCCAGGAGAGCCACAAAGTTCGATCCGGTTGGAAAACACTACTTAAGAGAAACACCACCTTCCAGGCACCTCAAGCAACACGTTTGAGTTTGTGATATTATCCCTGGAGCTTGCCCCTGCTTATCACCAAGATGAACAATTTTTGAAGTCCAAATATGGGATACTTGGTGATGTAAAGAGAGCTTTCCTGCCTACCAATACAGTCATCACTGTGTGGTCCACCCTTGCATATTGCTTCACAGAGCGGTCTGTGCACGGAGATGGGGAGCAAACACCAAAACAGAGGTAGCATACAAGTGTTGTTTTCAGCACTTGTGTGACAATTATTTCAGATACTGCTATGGTCAGGAGCTAAAACGGAGTCTTGGGCACAAAGAAGCCTATGTCTCAAACTCAAAGGGACTTAAAGACAACCGTTTTTTTACAAGTATTTGGGTACACCCAAAGTGAAGCACCATCAACATTTTGTCCCTAGATACCTAAATAATTTTGAAACTAAGCATTACCCATGAGGAACTTCAAAAAGATTACAGCCCTTCTGAAAGCTGTATCCAGAACTTAACTGAGCTGAAATCCCAAACAAGTTAAAGCTTAAAACCAGGCTCCAAAGTGTGTATTTCAACATCATACGGGTACAGGAACCTAACTTTGGTTTTCCTGTTACTGAAAGTGCTCGCCTTGGGCACCAGGCTCTTACAGTTATGGCTGTGGGACAACTATTACATTCTGTTCTAATAAAGCACGTGCTCTCTGGAACAAACTCCCCAGGATGACTCTGTTGCTTTGGCACAAATGGACTCATTTGGTTGAGATAAAAGGGTGCTCCCTTGCATCATTATCATTTGATTATTTTTTTTTTTTGTAAGATAGAGAAACAGTTAATTTTGCTAAATGAACGTTCTGTTGCCATGACTTCACTGCAGACAAACACAAAGCCATCAAGCTCCTTTTCCTTGGGGGTTGTTGCTTTTCTTTAAACAGGTATTTGATCATCTTGATTGTCTTGTTTCTTTTCCCAGCATCTGCATTTCCAGCATTATCCCACAGTGAGACAGATACATAATGGCTATAGCTACTCCCTAAATTAGAGAGATATTTCTGTGCATATTCATCCCCTCATTATCTACCTCTGCCAGCTATGCCAATGCACCTTCTGTGACTCCAATACACAGGGCAGTTCTACTTGCAACAGAAGGTAGCAAATCTCTCCAGAGGAAACCCTAAATTTATGGGATTAGTCCCTGAAAGTCAGAATTCCCATGCTCCTGCCAAGAATGAAAGGACTTCTCCATCCTGCCCACTGTCAAACCAGGCTGTTGCCCAGGAATTTGCCCTAGTATAGAGCCAGAAACATAAATTAAAAGTCCCTTCCACTGCCTCAGTTTCTCAGGCAGATGAAGAAGGCTGTGCAAACACGTGGGGTGTTGCAACACTGGCCGAACCAATATTCATTAAGCAAACTGGGGATTAAGAGTATTATACACTTTACGGGGGGGGGGGGCTTTTTTCTTTTTTAATATTTGCATTGAATATACAGACTAAGTAGAAACAGCATTTGTACCCTGCAGCCATTATATCCTAGTAAATGGCTTATTACAGCATGCAGCCTACCAGCTCACCTCCATCCTGTCTCACTTAAATGCATGTAGGTGGAAGTGCTGCTCATTCCAGAGAACTTTATTTTTCACTGTCTGATGGAGACTCTTGATAGCTGGGCTCACAAGACGGGGCTTAGGATATAAATACTTCAGCATGAGCTTGTTGTTTGGTACCTATTTATGACAATCATAGAACAATTAATTACTTCCCGTCTACGACTAATTCCCATCTCTTCCAAAAAGACTGAAGAGAGGGTGAGTTTCATCTCAAGACTTTCAATTTCCTGATGAGTCACAGCAGACCCACTACAACAAGCTTAATACTTCAATCAGACTGTTTCTTATTCAGGTATATTCAATACATTACTAAGATGTGGAGTGTGCTATTTTAAGGGCTAATTTCAAGCACTGCATGCACAATGCCTTCTCATCTGAACAGTCACTCTTCTCCTGGACGAGACAGATGTACCTCCTACACTACCATCCCCATCTCCTCCCTGCAAATCATATAGATAAATAAACACTACAAGAGCAAAAAGTGAAGGGTTGTACATTTGGTGCACTGACTTTCACAACACACAGTCCCCTCTCCCACTTCACTAGTTCATTCCCTGCCCTTTGGCAATAAAATTACTTATGTGACGGTAGCATCAGACAAGGAGAAAACATTCGCAGACTGCACAGGCTGCAACAAGTCCACAGTGTCTTGTTTTCTTCATTATAGGGCCAAGAATCACAGATTTATTTTTCTGCCCCAAGGAGCAACTCTGCATCCCAGTACAAATCCTCAGTTGTCCCCAGTTCCCACGCCACCCACTCACAAGCTCTCAGGCTCCATCAAGCAGGCAGGAGACACCTTGCCCAACCTCTGAGCAGCAATACAGGTTACGGGGAACAGCAGGTGCTCTCTGGTCCTCATCATTTACTTAATTTAGTAAGTCCTTAGATTGTGTCAGTTGGGCAATAGATCCCAGATGGATCATTTGAGTCTAGGACAGGTTGCACTCTCCATCAGCCTGACCACAGTCAGCTGCAGTGGAAACAGCCTCATCCAAGAAGACTGTGAAAAGCAGAGCAATGGCTACATCTCTCTGGACCATGTACATGCCAGGTTCTCATAAGCAATGCAATTGAAAGCTCCCAGATAGCAACAGCTGCCTAAAAAATATGTGGCTACGATGATAGATATGTTAAAGACCATAACATTTAGGTGAGAGATACAAGGTACATGAGACAGCTATGTTCTTGCTTTCAGAGTTGCTACAGTGCCACCAAGGACATCACCTACTGTAAAAGCAGTAACTCCACAGACACACTCAAGACTACACTTGTGCTAGTTGCTTATAGCAGTTTTCCCCATGGCACAACTGGACTATGCAGATAGTTTCTGTGCAAACAGCAGCAGTGCCAGTTTCTGCCAAGCCCATGCTAATTACAAGTGATTCCAGCTCAAATGCTCTTAAGTCAGAAAGTGTTTAGGTGACATGAAACCAAAATAACACATGTCTCACCAACTCTCTAGTAGTGAAGTAACCTACAATCAACTATAAAGACCTGTCAATGTCTCTTTTCTTTATTCCTCCTTGGAAAAACTTTCATATAAATTCTAATTTTATGCCAGCAAAAATACATAACTTTTTTGATCCACGCCAATGCCCTCAGCTTGTTGGTGTAATTGGACTGTCAAAGCAACACAAAGCACATGGCCACTGACATTCCATTAAATCCTCCAAGGCTTAGTGGCTCCTCAGGTGCTACTTTGAAAGTGTCAATGTCTCTTCATGTATCACATTTACCTAAAAGACTCAAGGCACCTTAAAAATAATTCAGTCAGTTTCACAGAGTCTTGGGGAACAAAAAGGGCAAGTGGTGAAAGATCATTTCAGATAGCCAAGTCAAATTTGGAAGGAACAAGGAAGCAAACAGACTGAGCTGTAAATTTACAACATGGCAAATCTCTTGAATAGGCTCAATCAGTTAAGGTCACTTAAATTAAGGTGAGGATACACAAATTTTATAGATTTCCATGAAATACACTATTATCGCAGTCTGGCTGTTTATGGGACAGGCAGTA